GTGTGTCACTCATGGACAAATGCTAAAAAGTGGTAGTTCCAAGGAAGGCAGGGGGTGTTGAGATGAACAGACCCTGGGAATTGGCCCCCGGGTGAGTTTATATCGGGTACCTTTTACAAGCTACAATCCTCTGGCCGAGAAAAGTCACTCCCCTTTCTGATTCTCATTTGTAAAATGGGAGGGTTGTAAGGATGAAGTGAAGATAAGGTAGTGATAACAATGAAGGTCAAGAACGTGGCCTACAGTAAGCAGATAGCCTAGTCCCTTCCCCAACATTAGTTAACTGTGGCTCGCCAAAGTCACAGTGAATTCCTTAGAACTAAAGTGGAGCAATCGCTTCTGGCAGATTCAAACTTCAAGGTGCTTCCTCAAAGACCTTTTATTAAAAAAAAAAGTTACCTGTAAAGTGAACATTTCAGAGTCCCCCCCTCCGCTCATTATTAAGTAGAAAAGATTGTTTCCCCTTTGGATCCCGACATCCTAAATTGTAATCTTCTCACACCATGCTCCACTACTAACCAGGCCCATGGCTTTGGATACAGACACTGCTTCTTTTCCCTTTGTGCAAACAGGTTTGGGGGCTGTCTTGGTGTGAACTCCTTGAGGTGCGAGGGTGGGAGGGGTTAGGAAAGTGAGGGAGAGCAGGGTGGCACTCAGGAAGTTCTCCAGGGTGACTGATTGCAAGTTCATTTTGTATCTCAGAATGTCACGTCCCAGTCTGTCCTGCACTCATGATATTGAAGAATACAGGTGCTCCTTCAGTTTCAGCTGAAATGAAAAAGTGAGGCCCTCTCCCCAAGCCTAGGAGACTAGAGGGTCTCCAGGAGCATTTCTTAAGGGGACTTGTTTAAAGAAGCACAGATGTGCAGCTTCTCTGGGGCTAGTTGGAGTTTGGTGACAAAGCAGCTGCTCAATCCCTTGAAAAAAGAAATATACCTCTTACCTGAGGACTTATCATGGGCAACAGGATTTAGATCTCGCCAGTCAAAAGGATGAACCAGGGCAAGGCAGCTGCAGAGGCAGAAAAGCGCATGCAATTTGGGTGGCACCATCTTGGGAGCTGAGCAGTGGTTTCAGCTTAATCTCCTTCAGAGCAGATGATTGAAAGAAAAAAACATGCAATGAAGATGATTTAAACAGGCTGACAAATCAGAGAGATAGAGGTTCTAGACGCATTTGGGAAAAAAATGAAACATGCGTTTTCTGGGCTGGGTTTTAGATAGGCAGGAGGGTGGCAAAATCCTTGGGAATGCTGGATTGTAGAGCACAAAAGTGATCATTTTAGACAGATTAGGGGTTTGGTCACTAGTTTCCTAACTTTATAACAGTCTGGTTTGGTTACAGAAATAGCAACAAAGTATAATGATAGCCATGTCATCATCCTAATATATCATCATCCTAATATCTATAGGTGTGTCTAACACATAGTCAATAGAAAGTTTTGGCTGTTTCCACCATGCAGTGATTGCATTTCCACTTCTGTGGCTGATTTTGGTGTTAATGATGATATAGTTTTGTTGATTTCCATAAGCCGACTATGCTGTGAGATTCTGAAGAGCAGAGGTCTGATTTGCTGTCCCAGTGCCTCACAGGGAGTTGGTGTTGAATAAATGTTGAATCATTGAATGAAAAGATAGGCGTATCGGACTTGGGGTAATAATAAAGTATATTACCATTAGGCTGGATGCTACCATCTTATTAGCAAAAACTATCTTGTATGTGTGTATCACTTTCCCCCTTTAAAATCTGTCTGTAAACTTTGGGGGTGATGGATATGGTCCAAGCCACCACCATCTCTCCAGGATTATTGGCAGTAATTTCTAGTTGCTCTACCCGCTTTTGCCCTTCCGTCTCTAGCCTGTCCCCAACATGGCAGCCGGAGTGATCCTGTCACTCTTCTGCTCTCCACTTCCAAAGGGCTTCAAGAGCAGAAGCCACAGACCTGAAAGGAACTATGTCGTTATATTCAGCCGACTCCCTGCTCTGATCTTACTTTAGGATTATATGTAGTTTTTATCATAAAGTTAATCCATGATTTCAAAAATCCAAACCCAATAGGCTAAGGGAGGAAAAAAGTTGACTTGCTTCTTTACTCATGACTTGCTGAAAGATTTTTTTTCCAGATGTATTTCTGTGCTTGAATATACACACATACATAATATACCCACAGAGACGTAAATATATACACACACATACATACAAATATATGTACTTATATAGTTTTACAATGTGTTTATAAAGCTTCATACTTATATTCAGATTGCTTTTAATTTGATAATGTATCGTAGAAATCTTTTCATGTCAGTACCTAGCACTATAATTTCTATTTTAAAATGGCACTAGGAGTTGCTCAAAAAGAAAAAAAAAAAAAAGACCATTCACTAAAGAAATAATGATATTGCTAACAGTTGAAGGCTTATTATGTGCCAAGCATTTTGCACAGTTCCTGGCGGAAATTAAATTATCCTATTTGATCATCACCAAAACAATCTGTGAGGGGTGTTAGGTTATCTCTATTCTATTGATGAGGAAATGGAAGCCAGGGGAGTTTAACTGGTTTGTCTAAATCACACAAGGATCAAGTGCGAGAGGCAGGGCTTATAGCTGGAAGGTATGAGTCCCTGTCTTTAACCAAAATGTACCAACTTGAGTAATGTCGATCTCTGTTTGCTCTAAAACTGCAATTTCCTAAAATTAATGAACAGAACCACCATCGAAATGATGCCCAGGGTATTCACAAACTGCTTCTTAGATTGAAAGGATGACTTAACGAGTTAGAAATTATTTCCTAAAGAGATGGGAATCTGTCACGTTGTTCTTGCCCTACATTATATTTGGAGCAACATGACGAGACCCTCTGGAAACCACACAGGACTCTGTACGAATCCAGAGGAATAGCAACTGAGTATTCCACACGAGCAACAGAAGAGGATGACCCGAAGCCAGGCCATGTTCACCAGCTTCCACAATTAACTCTCTTTTTTTTAGAAACAGAGTCTCTTTCTGTCATCCTGGGTAGAGTGTCATGGTGTCATAGCTCACAGCAACCTCAAACTCTTGGGCTCGAGCGATCCTCCTGCCTGAGCCTCCTCACGATGAACTCTCTTAATGTTGTCACAACTTGGTTTTTCATCAAGTAACATCAGCCACAGAAAATATTTAGAGGGGCATTTAGCAGAGGGCTTTAGAAAATCTACCCTGATACTTACAGCCTGTGACGGAATAGGGAGAGTGTCCTTCAGCTCACAGGAAAGGTCCCGGGAATGAAGATGAAAACAAAGGAAAGTGAAGTGGAACCCAGCAGGGAAACTAACAGGGAGTTTTAGGATTTTTAGGAATGTCACTCTCTAAGCCAGAGGTTAACTTGCCCACAGCTCTTTGGGCTTCATCACGCTTTTCCTGCCAATAATCCCAAACAGTATTAGTGACAACCGGCTGCTGGCACAGCTCCCCGGAGCTGCTCTGCCCTCCCCACATTCCCTAGCAGACCAGTGCCAGGGCCATCCCCTTTGGTCCTCAAAGGACAGCAGGGCAGAATTAAAGCCAGGGGACACAGCATGCCAGGATTCCCAGCCTGTGCTGACAGGAGCTGCAAAGGTTCTTGGGGAGCTTTGAACATACTCATTCCTGAGACCTAGCCCAGACCTGCGTCTTTACAAGGCAGCCCCAGGCATCTGCACGTTCCCGCCTGGAAGGTAGTGGTTGGAAACTGCGGCACTGCAGTAAAAGTATCATTTTCTTAGTTTATTTACTGCCCTACCATATGTAACATCTGATCTGATCTTCCAAGTAATGATCCTTTAAATCAGGAGTATCCAACAATTTTTTTTTCTCTGTCACACATTGGAAGAATAAGCATCGTCTTGGGCCACACATTAAATACACAAACACGAGCTAAAGCTGATTAGCAAAAAAAAAAAAAAAAA